ATTTTAGTTTTACGGATGAAAATTTTGGCTTAAATTTAATAGGATTCCTTCAATATACTTACGTTTTTCTAAACTAATGATAAAGTAATTTAAGATTTAAGATTGTTAATTATCCTGAACTCTGAAAAGGACTAAAATGATGAGACATATGATTTGATAAGCTATTATATGAAGGACATGTATAGTATTGTAGCTAATTTATTTTTATGGAAAGAATAAACCAATATTGTAAAATAAATTTAGGTCATGATGTAATAGTTTTCTTTGAACTATAGAATAGGCTTTTACTTCATCGATCACAAAGCTTTAATAATAACTGAATAGATGATGAATTGATAAGATTTAATTAATAAAGACAGCAGTCACAAGTCATATGAAAATGTCTTATCAGGAGAAATAATTTAAATTGAATTTTATATAGAATATCAAGTAAACTATTGCAATGTTTGTAACTTCTGTAAAGTAGACTTCCAGATATTGGAAATATACTCCATAAAATAAATGAAAAAATGGCAGTAGACAATTCATCCGCACTTAACTGAAATAACTCTGTCAGTAAACCTTAAGCCTATGGATGTTATATTTTAGTGTTATGACCTAGCTGTTTAAAATCATATATGTCCCAAACTCTGCCCCATTATCATCTTATTAAGTTTATTAAATTAGTTGTAATAAACTGTTACTAATTGAGTTTTTTAAACAATTCTTAAAAATTTATCAACAGAAATTTATATTCTTATTACAGTAATAAATTTTGATCATAAACTATTCATGAGACTTCGAGTGTCTTTTAATATATGGAGTCCAAAATAAGCAAGACAACAGAATACCATCGATTAATATCGAGGTAATTGCATTTGAATTGATAGTCCTTCGATATCCACAAGGCACTTTTTTTCTTGAATTAATGCATTTTTCAAAAAGATTAAAGTCACACTATACTAACTCAGGCGAGTCCAGAGTATGGTTGAGTGTAAGGACACATGTAACTACAAACAGATGACATAATAACATATACTTAATTAAAAAAATCCTGCTTATTTTGAAATAGTTCCTATATATATTTCAACTACTCTCAACTTCTTAATACTTCTAGATATTAAGCGACTTTATCTAAACTCTCACCACTAATTACTTGAACAAAATTCCTCCTACTACTCTCTGTCTCAATATTGAAATTTTCTCTACTTATTTATAAGATGTTAACTATCAATTTCTTGTAGTCAAAGAGGTTTAATCTCCGAATGTTTTCTTTTTTATAGACACAATATTACCTAAGTCTGTCCCTCTTCATTTAGTCTATCTGGTAGTCTGCAGAATTATTAATCTGTCTGTTAGTATAAACTCTTGCTGTTATGTGGATTTTCCCTGCGGAGAGGGGAAAAGAATACTCCCGCGGTTAGGTCACCACCGGGTGCTACAATCCAGATTGTAGCAGAGGTTTAGATAGGCCTTGCATTTCACCAAGGTGGAAGATATGACTTACATGAATATCTTCACTGGTACCGGCAGAATAGAGGTGGCTATTCCAATGGGACGTTGATTGACGCTTTGTATTAATACGTGTGTTTTTGAACACCGTGGTGTTAAGCCTTGAAGGCAGGAAATCACGTTAAAAATTACTGGACTCTGTTAAGTGGATTCTCGAGCTATTTAACTTGTCTTAGTCACTTATTTCTGTTATAACTAGTACTTAATATATTTTAAATTTCATTATCTAATTTCATTTAAAAATATTTCCCAGTATTCACTCAACTTTTCTCTAATACTACTTACATCATACTAGATCACAAGATTTCTATTTTATTTTACATGTACGACACGAAGTCTTCTGATCAGTTAATAGATGTCAGTCAAATGACTAATTTGATAAGAGGCACGCTGTAATACATAAATAATTAGTTATATTTTTGGTCATATGTTGACTCATATGATAGTATAAAAATAAAATGGAACAAAATAAAATAAAATAGATATATATAAATATCACAACTTGAACAGGTGCTCAACGTAACATATGAGTAACAATGCCGATAAAATTGTCAATTCCTATCAAAAAAAAAAAGAACAATTAAAAATGAGAAATATTCCCATGATATGAATGCATATAGAACTGGATTTTTTAAAATGATAACAATTTGGTAAATTGCCAATTTCATCGATTCATTTAAAAATGACAAAGAAAATCCAAAATTGGATGCGTATAATATGGACAAACTATTGATAATCTTTAAATAATATATGTATATGAAGTGACTTTTGTTTAAATACACTTTTTTTAATCTTTATTTCATGGAAAAGAAAAATTAATTATCGGGAAATCAAAACACGTTATTAAATGTAATACCCAGTAAAATCCCATCGATATATCATAAATTTCTGTAAAATAAATGTTGCTATGATAGCAAAAGCTTAACTGTTTATATTCAAAAAAATTGTATTCGTTACTACAAATAATTTATCTTTCTTTGATATATATTAATATATATAAAAACTTTTATTTCTTGGAAATATGTGTACATTAATTATAAAATTAATTAATTAAAAAATTTATTTAAATCTTTAACAATAACGTTGTGTACATAACTGCCCTTCGGGCAGTTGTAGGTTTTTCCTTTCCTTTATCTTTAGTTGGCCATTACAGACGTGGGTCGTCCGCATCGCGTAGCTTCCGCAGTCAGCCCTATTAGTTACTTTCTGATGCCGTTGTGTACCTAGCTGCCCGGAGTGTTTCTCCTTGTCCTTTCACTTTAGTTGCGGCGTTCTCTACGGGGTTTTCCGCCTGCGGGTACGCTTCAACAGTCAGCCGGAGCAGTTTCTTTCTTTTGCCACTTGACCAAACCAGCGTAGCCGCTGAATTTTTATGCTCATCGTTCCATCTAATTCGATACTCGTAGCCAAAGTGTAAGGGACCATAGATCTTCCGAAGAATTTTTCTCCCGAATGCTCCTAACGCCTTCTCATCACTGTTGGTAATTGTCCAAGCTTCTGCAGGACAGGCATGATAAGAGATATTACAACTATAGGTTTTTACCGCACCCAAAAAATATATATCACTATAAAATACTATATAGAATGTTACTTATCTTCAGGACCATTTCACAGCTTTTTGCGAGTAGCACCTAGAGCATGATAGACCCTCTTTTCCACTTCTCGCTATACCGCTGCTATTTAGTACAACTATTTTAATACTAATATAATATGTTTTTTAGAAATTTATTTTAGAAATATTTTTTAAAAATATTTTTTTATTCAATTTAAATTTTTCTTGCATTTCCAAAAATTATTTAACTTTTTTATGTTATACAAATAAGTTTCGCATTAATTCTATATATACTAGAACATCCTCATTTCTACTGTATCAATGTTAACTTGTTATTGCATTTTAGATAAAGAAACTATCTGTCTTGGTTTTACTAGTAAAAATTTTTGTTCTGGTTGTAGCTATACACAGCAATAGAAAACTGAATTAGCTATAGCTTAAGTATCAATGCCTATCATTGACCAGTAGAATATCAAAAATGTTTGGCGCATTTTTATGGCCCTTTTCAAACAAATTCTTTTCTTTTTCGGGATATCTTGGATATCCTGTTTGTGTCTGGTATACAAACAACACCCTTTAGTGCACAAGACTACCACTCCAACGTAACCTAACCTGATCATATATTCCTATCACTTCAATATTGAACTATCACTATCTGTATTCACTATAATTTATTATTAGTCATTATTATTAACAGATAATATTAGAGACTATTTCACATAATGCCTTAGGATACATATATTATATTTATATAAGGAATAAATAATAATGGAATTTAGTTATATTTAATTGCTATTCAAATATATAATAGCACATCAAAAGAGGGAGGCATGGATATTACGGTAATCAGAGTTCAACAGTAATGATAATAATATTACCAGTCTTATAAATGTAGCGAGGTTAACCTCCTGCTGATACCGTATTTATTTTAATATGGTTTTTTTTTGTCATTTTTTACTAGTTAATGGATAATAAATAAATAATAAATTAATATTGTTTTTAGTGATAATAACTCTTTATCCAGTTACGAGTTAATATATTATAATAGCAATTATGTTAACTCCTGCACCAAAAAAAAATCTGCATAATATAATAAACTAATTAAATCAAACTTTAAAAATAGACTTACTTCTAACTTGATATACTACGTTTTATATTAATAATTATGCTAAAAATCAAATGAATTATGGGTGTATAATTCCCTATAATAATTCCCTATATACACAAGACAGCTTTGTTTTTGTTGCAAATTTGTTTTTTTTTTTTAAATATATTATATTAATAGTTACATGATTACTTCTTGTTCTCATACGTTGCTTAAAAAAATCTAAATCTCAACTCTACTTAAATGTATACAATATATGTTGTAAAATACACAGCAATTTAAAAAGGCAAAGAAAGAAAAACTATAAGAATCAGTAAATTATAATATTTCTGTAAAAATCCATTCTTTTAAAAGTCAAAGTAAGTAGTAATTTTTAATATTTCAGACTGTTAGTTAAAATCTATTTAAATTTAAGAAAAAATAGATCCATTAGTGTATTATCTTCCCGATGTTAAATCATTTTATTTTGAAAGAGATCAAGAGTATAATGCCAGAGAAGACTATCTTACAACAATCTATAGTTCTTAGTCCCTCAATTTACTCTTAACTAAATTTTTTCAATTTGCTAAATCTACACACAGCCATATTCGTTCAATCAAAATTAAAATTTGGGTTTTTTGGAAAATATAGGAAGTACGCACACATATGATTCATGTCTTCCATAAGCTAATATTAAAGAGTTTACGTTTGGAATTAAATTTTAGAGTAATTCATCATAATGATGAATTATTTGAATATAACCAAATCGACGTCATAAACATTTACTTTATTCAGCAGATAAGTTTTACTACACAAATAATTTTATATAAAATGCAGTAGAGAATTGTAGTAATTATTTCAGTTTACAAACATTAGTGAGTCAAAGAAGTTCAAAACAATGAAGACGATCGTTCTCGTAACTTTTTTGGTAGGCTTATTAGCCTGCACAGTCAATGTAAATGGTGCATGTAAGTAGAAAAGAAAATTTCTCAAAAAAAAATTTAACAAATAATATTTTTATATTAAATGTGAACATATCTTTCTAGCTTTCCTTATAAATCAGGGAACCATCAACTCTACAACCAGCGCTAATGATTTGATAACAGCTTTAAAGAATTTCTTAACTGATTTTCAAGAAATTATGCCATGCGGTTTTGAGCCTTGGAATATACCACCACTAGCACCATTAACTTTAGACTATGTTCCTTTCAACTTCACCACTGATTATCACAGGTAATAAAAACTAATTTATTTAACGAAACCAAACTGTTTTTAACACACCTTACTTACTTAACAGAGTTACAGGAAACTTGTCATATATGGTGGTAAAAGGTTTAAATAGTTATGAGGGCTTGAAATTCATATACAATCCAAGCACTGATCGTTTTTATTTCGATACGATTGTAAACGAAGTACAACTGCTCAGTGAGTACCAAGTGAGTGCCTGGGCTAATTTAGCCGGTTTCTCAGTTCAAGCTCAAGGTGATGGTGTATTAAACTGGAAGATAAAGGACTTCCGTATGCTTGGTGATTTTGCTTTGGAAGCTACAACCAATGGCTTGGCTGTAGAAAACTTTAATATGCAATTCTGGGTAGGCGATGTTATTACTGATAACTGGAATAATATGTGGAGTACTTCCTTAAATAATTTTGTCAATCGCGTTGAACGTGAATTCGTTTTAATGCTTGCTGAACAAATTCAAGCGGATGCTGATAATATCTATGCTGCCTATCTGGTACCATATTATGATAATTTAATGAAGGGCTTCACAATGGAATCTTTGACTATGGCTATTTCAACTGCAGCATCGCAGTTAGCTGGAACAACTTGTTCTACCAATTAAAATATTTCTTGAATATGTATATTTATACTGATATACATTCATGTATCAAAATTGTTAAAAATATAAAGATTATGTATATTTAATTATATGTATTTTTATTTGAAATTGTAAATGATGAAATGATTTCATCATTTGCATTTTTCTATTCAAAACTATGTAATTAATATTAGAAATGTTGACTTTACCTATATACATAGTAAAGTTTTTAACCTTATATCGAAACTAATGATATCAGTTCACTGCAGAACCATGAGGATATATTTTAAGCCCTTAATCTTAATGCTTTTGATTAGATTTTTATAAAAAAAGTGCTTTTAGTTGTCAAACTTCCCTACCGAATTCGATGATAGGTGTACAAAGGATATAAATTTATAATAACTGTTAACTCTTGCTGAAATATCGAGCTGTTAAAAACAAAGACATGATGATCACAGTCTTTATAACCGTGAATGCATGAATAAGATGGTTGAAGTTATACCATCAACAACTAATTAGAAGAAAAATAGAAGATAGTTATTAATGTCAGTCTCGTAAGAAATAGCTCTGAAAATGAATCCATGGAGCACGCTAATTTAAGGGATTTCGGTTAATACATTAAGACTGAAAAGTTTTCGGAAATTCTCATTTAAAATTCGCGCGTGTATATTTTTCGATATTTTAAGTTTATGTAGTTTGGCAGCACTGTCCTTAATTACTATGCCAAAAATGAGCTCGATCTGTCAGACAGTTCGTTTACGGCAGCTGTTGAAACCAGTTCACCTCAGTAGTGCGTTGCGAAATGTCTTCGACGGTCGTACGACCGTCCTGGAAGGCTTTGTACCACTCATAAACTTGAGTTTTCGATAAAACTGATTCCCCATAAGCCTTTTGTAGCATTCGCAACGATTCTGCACACGAAATTTCGTTCGAAACACAAAATTTGATGCAAACTCTTTGTTCAATATTTTTTTCCATTGTTTTTTTCGCAACGCCCTACTGAGGTGAACTGGTTTCAACAGCTGCCGTAAACGAACTGTCTGACAGATCGCGCTCATTTTTGGCATAGTAATTATCAGTTAACAGTTAAATACAAACAGATTATGATCAAAGTCTTTATAACTCGTCGAATACATGAAGTAATACTAGTATTTTCAAAAATAAACTGGTTCAAGCGAAGTTCTAAAATGGATTATGGTTTCTGGCAATTGCCGAACACTGACAGAGTATTTAAGTGCAATTTTTCTTTCACTGATCTATAGCTACAACAGCAGTTGTTGTTAGGAGTACCTAAAAGTTTAATATCCTACCTTACACACTGGATATTGTATCTTTTTTGCTGATGAAAATTCCTGTCCGACCTCAAAACTTATTTGACTGAAATTTGACAAAAATCGGAAGCCATGCCCATTTATGACCAGTAGAAGGTTAAAAATTCTTAAGACCCCTTTTGTTACCGATCTAACAGAGTTGCCATCCTGTAAAATAAGAGACGTAGCCAAATTTATGGTATTTTTTCGTTGAATGAATGGTGGAGTTGTGTCTTTTAACGTCGCTTACACACTAACTACTGCGTTCGTTGTAGGTGTCCTTTTAGTCTACGTATGAACAATGCTTAACCTAATATCCCAGTGTCATCGCTGTAATTGAAACTCATGTGGCATTTTTGGTCAATTCGTCTATCCGATATTTGCCAGAAATCCAATACTGATATTAAACTTACCGATGAATAGACAGATATCTTATTCAAAAATGTATGGCTTTTCGATACATGGATAGATGTTATCAGAACAATATATTCAATAGTAGCCTAAAAATTAAATGATGTTATAAATGAGTTGGTATGGTTAAGAGAAGATATTAAAAATAAAGGTTGCAGGTTAATAAAAAACTCAGACGTTAGATTTCATTTTGATATTTCAAAGGAAAGTTCCTTAAAAGAATATTTTTGTAAACATATTGGGCAAATTTGAGTGCATCTTTGTTCTGAAAAACCCTGATAAACTTAACCTAATCTTTGTTTTTAAGAATAAGCAATATCTGTTGTAATTAGAACGTATTTGATACAAATATAAAAATAAAGTTTTATGTTCTTTTGGTTCTGATGTTTAGTGAACAAATGAAGAAGTCAAAATTATTTTACAAATTTTATTTAGAACTTTAATTGAATATTCAACTTTAGTATGCATTTTACTGTAATTATACTGAAATTATGGTTGTTATATATATATATATATAACACCATATTGTAGGGGTCGTCACGACTAATTCAATGGAAATAAAAATTTATTTTCTATTTTACTTAATTTTATTTGCATCAAATACTGAACTCTAAAGAAAAAATAAGAATTTTTCCCAATAATAAAAAAATTTTAATTTAAATTTTATTTTCACAATGAAGATATTTGTTTTGACAATGCGGACTGCACCCTGAATGTTTATATCCTGCAGTTTCTACTGCAGGACTAAATTGCGAACTAAATTTGTTTTATTAAAAACTCAATGGAAGGCAATAGAAAAACTTTTATGAAAATATGAATACTACAAAATACCAATTCAATTCATTTGTTTTCAGCAATGCATAAACTCTGGAACTATTTTTGAACAAGAGTAAAAGGAATTTTTTTCCCAAAATTTGCTCTACAAGGACATTTGTACTCTAGAGACAAAGTTTTAATAAACTGCAAAAAGCATAAAAGACAACTGAGCTCAAAGGTTATGTTTATTTGATACTTTGAAAATAAACAAAAGTATAACAACTTTATTTGGCAAATAAACAAATTAGTTGAAATAAAATTTTGTCCATTCGAGAAGGATCTGAATATAAATTGAATTTTATCAAAAGGAATTAAACTAAGAAATGGTCACAAATACATTGAAGGAAGTATATTGATACTGATAAATGAATGTTAAATCTCTTATATACATACGTGACTTTAATTGCTTTTAAAATATTTCACTCTAATTTCTTTAATATAAATTAAACAGATATGCTTCATTCATACATTTATATAATTCACCAAGTATAATCAAAAAGTAACAGGACTGCTTAATGCTTCTAAAAAGTGTTAATTTCATGTAAATGATTATTCCATCCATTTTCAATCAGTCGCCCTATAACATCAGATACTTATGTCATCGTAGTTTCTGGTTTGAGAAACATAATATTAGATCGTCTGCTTAGATATAGTCTTGACTTTGCTCTGCTCGATTTCACTTTTATATCAACTAATATTGCAAAACGTTGTTCGTTAAGTGACTTAATGAGTTTGCAATATAGATGAAAGTATCAGAGTGTACCATATCTAAAGATTATATAAGGATTAGGAAAGATATATACATTCCGGTAATGTTATGTTTCACAAACCGTTGGATAAGCAGCTAAACCACTTTTGAAAAAAAAATGTATGGCCAATCATTTCCTGTTTATTCGATTTCTAATATGAAGCAACCTAAAAGTTGCTTCATATTAGCTGTAGGGATTTCCGATTTCTTTAAGATCGAACTAAGCAGAATTACATCTAACAGAATCTGTTTCATTTTTCCACCCTTTCATTTTTCAAAATTCTTATTATTATTTGATCAGACCCCATATATACTCGTTTTGAAAGTGAATATATGTACACAATAACATTATATAACAATTATTAATATTATATTAATAAAGTATCTAATGAAAACATATAGTTAAAGCAAAGAAAAAGCTTGACAATTTTTATAGGGACGTTGCCCCAGCTGAGTTTGGCTCTTTCATACCAAGCAGATATTAATAAACCCTAGATAGAGCAGACCCTGCAAATATAATTGAAATTTATACTGACGATTTTAAACTCACCTACAGAATTGGTCCTAAAATCTTTTTTAACAAATCTTAGCATATCGCTTTGACTTCCTGCCCATTACAGCATCTTTCAGGCAGATATATAATAGAATTAATTCTGAGCTATAAGGTTTCTGACATGTATTCCACAATCTTCTTGGACAAACCAACTCAGTAAAAATACATGTAAGGTCACAAGGCTCACCTGGCCCACACTGAGATATTAGAAAGGCATGCTCCACCTCTATCTTATCTATCAGTATCCATTATCAGCTACTAGAAATTTAAAATATTCTTTCCCAATCGACCTCATAGAGCAGTAAGCCTTTAAAATTAGGAATATAGTAAAATTAATAGATTGAACTACTTGGTTTCCTTCTGCATAAATGGATGAATTGCTTCTTTACAGGAACGCTGTTTGTATGGTATCATCTCCACCTTTGAGGTGATTCTTCAAGTCCAGCGTATGAACGGTTGCTCATCTGTCATATCACAACAACCAATTATGTGTACTTAAGTAAACTTTGGTTTATAAGGTTTCCACTCCAACCTTATTTAACTTAAACTACCCCAACAATTTCAGTCCTAGTTTATAGGTATTCTAAGTTTAAATGTAGTCGTATAAAGACCGATAACGCTAGTCACCCAAATTAGACTGTTAACCCAGGAAAGAGATAAAAAATGCCGAAAAAAGCTTAGTACATATTAGAATCCATAAAATTTTTCAATAAATTTAAAAATATACTGCAGATGTTTATATACTTTATTGTTACCTTTTATCTAAAAACCGTCAGAAGTGGTAGAAACCAGATTAACCTCATAAAAGTTTTAAAGCAATGAGACTCTGATACTTTATTGATTACTAACGAACTCACCCAATAAAAACACACGTAGCCCTCAATAAACCTCTTACCGTAGTAACTATGCCCCTAACTGTTACCGCAAAGGACAGGGTATGCGTGGCAACTTGATGGTTTAATCCACCTACCTTTACATTTCAGATAATCAATATATTTTTAATTTGGTTTATTATGTTTTATTTATTACTATAATAATATATATCGTAATTTATATTTACTTTTCTAAGAGTTAAGAGTTTAGAACTTTATCCCCTTCTAAGTTATCATGATTTCCTTTAGCCTAAGGTTTAAATTTTTGTACACTATGCCTCCAACTGTATATATCTAGAATTGAAAACTGATTTACGAATCAATTATATTTGGATGAAATATGTTCGGTACATAT